GGGGGGGGGGGGGGGGAGGGTTGGAATGGGTCGACGTTTAATTTGTGCGTGGCAATTTTCTTTGGGATATCTGTCATATCTACATGGCTGAAAGCGAACAAGTCTGCGTTAGCTGTTAAGAATCGACAGAATTTACCTGGTTCCCGAAGTTTGCAGCCGATATAGGCCTTCTTGCTATGATCGTTGAGGTCCAATTGAATGGGGTCGTGGTCTTCTATGGTCGATCCTACGGCTTCGACCGTGTCGGGATCCTCGATGACGTCCTCGGTCTCATTTTGCTCCGACCTCGACCTTGTTGATTGCTACGCCTCTTTTTCTTTATCTTTTCTCTGTATGGTGGTTGTGCTATCTATGGCAATGCGGTAGCATTCCTGGGATGTGTGATGTTCTCTGCGAATACTGAAATCCCCCATGGTGTTGGGAATTTGACCACTTGGTATAGGATTGAGGGGGCGACTCTCATGGGATGTATCTATGGTCGACCCACTATGGCATTGTATGCGGTGGCTTGATCCATGGTGTTCAATGTTGTCTCTAGAGTTATTCCACCGTCCAAGACGAGTAGTGTAATTTCCCCGGACGTTCGCTCAACTGCATTATTAAAACCGGTTAGCGTGACGCAGCGTTGCACTATTTTATCCTCGAGCCTTATTTGGGTAAGGACTCGGGGATAGATAATGTATGCACTGCTTCCATCGTCCACCATGATGTGTTTGACATCAGTATCTAAAATGCGTAAAGTAATAATAAGGGCATCATTACGAGGGAAAGTCAAACTGTCGGCATCTGACTCGTCGAAAATGATACTCTCTTCGAGTCTGCCATGCCGTTCGCGGGTGATCGACCGCTTGAGTTTGTGAGTGGTGGTGAACTTTACACCGTTGAGAGAGGCATCGCCACCGTCGCCGATGGTCATGTTGATGGTACGAGCTTGGGATGGTGTCTTTGGCGGGCCATGATATTCACGTTCTCTGGCGAAGTTGGTCCTCCCTTTGTCGCTTAACAATTCTTTGAGGTGCCCTTGTCATAACATGTTTACGACTTCCTATCTGAGGGTGATGCAATCTTTTGTTTTGTGCCCGCGTTCCTGGTGGAACTCACAGAGGGCGTCAGACTTTCTGGTGTTCGAGTCTGATATCATATTTGGGGGCCACTTCACTTTTGTTCCGAGTTTCTCAAGGGTGTAAACTATTTCTGTAGGCGATATACAAAAATTGTGAGCAGATAATAAAGGAGGCATACCTCTTTCGTTTCGATGAGTCCATGTCCTTGGTATGGGCAGGCCCTCTTCATAGCAGAGGGAGGGAGCAGCGACCGCCTTGACATATGGTTGGTGTCGTTCCATGTTACGTCGTGGAATCAGGTGATCTCTTCTGGTACTATCTCTTCGTTCTTTTTTGGATTCGGCTTGTACCGAGTTTAGTCAGTGAGTTGGTCCATTGAGATTGTCCTCCTCTACTTGGACCTCGGCACAATAAGCGTTGTGGATTTTGTCCCAAGTGGTTGCGGGATACTTCATCAATCGACTCAACAATTTTCTAGTTGCTCTCGAACCCTCTGGATTCAACCTGTTCTGAAAAGCTACGACCGCCATCCCTTCGTATACGTTGGGCATAGTCATCTTTACTCTGTTGAACCGGACAAAAAATTCCTTTAGCCCTTCTCCCAGGGACTGCTTAATAGCAAATATGTCGTTTACTCTCGCCTCGGCCTTCTTGGCTCCGGCATGGACGGTTAAAAACTTATCAGCCATTTCTTCAAAAGTTTCTATGGAGCATGCTGGTAGTTGCGAATACCATTTTAATTCCCCTCCCGTGAGATTCTCGCTAAACTTTTTCAGCAAAATGGAGGACACTTATTCTTTGGCAAGATCGTTGCCTTTCACGACGGTGACGTAGTAGGTCGCATGATCTTCAGCATCAGTCGTGCCGTCGTATATCCTAAGGTAGGGCGGCATTTTGAAGGGCTTTGGTATGGCATGCGGGGCTGCATCATCGTTGTACGACTGCTCTACGAATCGTCCGCCGTCCCTTTTCGGCAACAGCTTAGGAGCGCCCGATATCTTGTCAACCCGTTCTTGGTGTTCTTTCATCTGGTCTTAGAGCGCCTTGTTTTCATTCTTCATTTCTTCAATCCTTTTAAGAAGGGCAGCGAGGACGTTGTCATCTGTACTATCAATGACAGTGTGGGTTATACTTGTCGTTGGAGGGAGGGGTTGGTTGTACTGCTCATCTGTTTGTTGTATCGTGCAAGCCCTTGCGGTTTTCGCAGTCACGCCTGGGGCGGGTTTGTTGAGGACACTTGCTAGCGTGTCGGTTAGCCATGCCTCGAGGGGTTTCTTCAAGCTGGGGGCGTCCCTTCCTATGAAGGCGTGAAAACACCTTTACTGCTGGGTTTTGTTATGCTGCAGTGTGGGGACGGTGACCTCTCTCGCCTAGGGGTGCGCTGGGCGTCATGTCCTCACCTACTGTTTCGCAGCTCTCGTCGATGACATTTAAGAGGTTGGTTAGGAAGCCACCTGTTGCCCTCGTCCTTTCCTCTTGGTTACCTACCATGCAGGTTTTTGTACGCACAAAGAAAGGAGATATCAGGATTTTTTGACGTTAGTGACCTGTGTTAATTGTAGATCTAGAGGAAACAAAAAATTTAACTAAGAAATCCCCACAGACGGCGCCAAATTATTTGACAAAAAAATGTATAGATCTTGGTTCAAATAATTAAATTTATGTAAATAAGGGTTATTCTTAGCTAATAATAATATCCTTAGATGAGGTTCTTAAAGAAGAAATAAATATCACAAAAATATGGCCGGTCAGTAACAGTGATGTGTAGTAAACATTCCACAAATCAGAAATGATAGTATTGCATGTAATAATAATGAATGACAATAAATGACATTTAAGTAAATAGAGGGAATGTGTCACCCATGAAAAGATGGAATAAATGGATGTTCTTCGTGACAATGATGAATGATAGACAATCCTTTGAATATTCGAGTTATTCTCGGATCTAGTGGAAAAGTATGGATAAGAATCTCATTGAAAAGATGATGTTTGTATCTTAGCAAGTGAGAGTCGAATTTTTAAGTCAAAGTATGTTATTTACAAATGAATATCACATGTCCCCTATCATTGTCTTTTTAAAAAAAATTTATACGGGACATGTTTCTAAGAAACCCTAATAGTACAAGTACAGAGAATATCCACTAGAATATTCTTTTTAGTATCATATCTTGAAAACTAGCCGTTACAGCTATGTCAACGATACTCGACCTCGACCCTTATTGACACCTCGACTACGACCCTCGTTGGCTCTTCGACCACAGACTTCGACAGACGACGACTTGGGAACTCTTCCCTTAGTATTATCTCGGCTTAAATATTCTAAAGACAGATTTTGACCCATACAAGTGGTAACTCCATAACTGACAACTTGCTTGGATGATTGTTAGCTATTGTATTGTATCGTATTGTTACTTTAAATACAATATTTGTTTTGATTGTTACTTAAATTTATTGTATCGTATCGTTAAATCCGTCCTTACGTAACATCGAAAAGTGCCACTTTAATTTATTTAACGACGGATTTGATATGGTGGCGTCGTCACCTTATTTTTTTCTCTCATCTTGTCTTTTCTTATTATTAAATAATCATGTTTTATCATTTATTCTATTTTTTTAGATTAAATATTTTTGCTTCGTATCATTTTTTTTTTTAATAATATTGCAAGTTTATTGTTCATATTGTTGATGCATGATATCATAAAACGATGACAAACGATACAATTTATCCAAATATTATATTCATTAAATAATACAATACAATACAAACAATAAAATACGATACATTATAAAACGATATATAATAATAATCCAAATTGTATGCGTGTCAGCTAAGAATGAAGGTACAACCTCGGTCAACCTCCTTTTCACGCTTTGGTAAACTCTGCCACCTTTTCCCTTTGTTCTTCACTACCTAAAAAGCATTAAAATAAGTAAAAAGGGGGAATAAAAAGCTAATACTGCTCCAAAAGTAATACTCCCTCGTATATAGAATTTAATAATATGATAGTACACTTTATTTTTTTTTATTTTTTTCTTATAGTAGAAGAAATAAATGATGTTGCACTTTGCTTACACAACTATCCTTCATTTGATAATAATTGGTTTTCAACTTGCTTTTAGTCAATTTGCTTTCCCTTTTCTTCTCTCTAATTTTTCCCTTTTTCCATTTGTTTTTTAAGTGTGGGGAAGGGAGAAGATATTTTATAACAAAATTTGACTCTCTTTCTTGAATTTTGCCTTGGATCTATATTTTCAAGTGCGAATACAATCATTATTGCTGTTCGAAGTATAAACAGTTAGAAATTTTTATACAAGTCTTGATTTTCGTAAAGTTAAATACAACAACAACAACAATCCAGTAAAATCCCACTAATGAGGTCTGGAAAGCGTAGTGTGTACACAGACCTTACCCCTACCCCGAAGGAGTAGAGAGGCTGTTTCTGAAAGACCCTCGGCTCAAAAAAGAAAAAAGGACAAAAGGGGGCAATATTAGTATCACAACAACAATCATATGATAAATAGGAACACCATGAAATCCAGAAGAAAGATGCAAAGCAAAGGGAGACAATATTAGTAAACATTAGTATCACCACAACAATCATATGAAAAATAGGAACACCATGAAATCTAGAAGAAAGATGCAAAGCAAAAGCGATAGCTAGTAGATAGGGCATGCACTGAAAAGCGAAATAATAAGCCACAACATTGCCACTAGCTATCTTAGCCAAAAACCCTACATGGCTAGTCTCACAATGGTACGAAGTAAGGCACGACTCAACTGCCTCCTAGCCTATAACCCTAATACTCGACCTCCACATCTTCCTATCAAGTGTCATGTCCTCGGAAATCTGAAGCCTCGCCATATCCTGTTTGATCACCTCTCCCCAATACTTTTTAGGCCGCCCTCTACCTCTTCTCGTGTCCTCCATAACCAGCTGCTCACACCTCCGTATCGGAATATCTGGGCTTCTCCTATGAACATGTCCGAACCATAGTAAAATTAAATAATGATGAAAAAATGAAGTATGTATTCGAATACATTTCCAGAGAAGTAGCGAGTACAATAATCGTTACTTCCAGTAAATCAAAATCTGGGGCCAACCTCCGTAAGAAACAAAAAATAATATAATAAAAAGAACGACAAGATGTTCCTTGGCTGTTTGGACCATTTTTTATTGTATTATATGTTCCTCTTTTGTTTTCCATAGATATTTGAAGGTAGACAATTTGGAACTATGCACTACATATATCACTTCAATACGTACCAATATTACTTAACTTTATATACTACTAAGGAGTAGTAAATACTATTTTTTGGAACTTGAAATAAAAAACTTGAAATTGCTAAAGAAGTGATGAATATCGATATATGAATTCCTTCTTCTTTCTTTACTATACAAACATTATGGGGTCGTTTGGTAGGGTGTATAAGAATAATACCGAATACGGTGTATCAGTAATGCATAGATTAGAAATGCATGATTTAGTAATGCAAGTATTAGTTATGAAGAGATTATTTCTTATTCACTGTTTGGTGTGGTGTATTAAAAATTAAAATGCATTGCATAATTTTTTAAAAAACTAGTTGTTTACAAAAATACCTTCCATATTCTTTAGCTTTAAGGAATTTAAAAAATAATTTTGTCTTTAACCATGCTAATGCATGCATTAATAACCTTGGTATTGCTAATACCATAGTTTGCTATGTATTAGTTATACATAGGATAAAAGCAAAGAGGTTGTATAACTAATACTTGCATTAGTAATACGTATATTAAAAAAATATATCAAACAAGGAATTACTAATACCAAAAGTTAATGCATATATTATTTTCTCTAATATATCCTACCAAACGACCCCTATGTGATTGACGGTGATAATGCCCCATTTGTAAAGGCGTAAGGCTAAGCCCAAATATGATTTTTGAGAGATTTGGAGATCTAAATCATATTCATATTTTGGTTGTTCATGCGTGTTGTTCGTTGACTCCAAAATATAGTCATTTCCTTTTTATTAGGTGTATTTGTACTAGTTCTCCATTAGTATTTTAATTCTTCATCATAGATTTTTATTATTTATTACTTCAACCTAAGTGAACTTTAACTACATTTTAGAACATACTTCTTTTGCTATAGTAAAATATAAATTATAGTAGTATTATTTTTCGTGTAGTTTCAAGAATATCTAAAGTTTTTTTTTTTTAAAACTCAAACAAACACTTTTATTAGGCTAAGTCAGCAATATAAAATTAGGAGCATACTCCAAATAGAAAGGATTTAGCATAATTTTGAGACTTTCTAGATTTGCATGCCTTGTAAGCCAAATCAGAGAAATATTAGAATTTTTCTTTAACAAGAAATAACAATAATCTAAAAGTACTCCAAATTACCTAAAATCTTCACTTGAGAATTTATAAGAAAGTACAAATTCTTTAGCATCACATTCAACTATATTCTGGCCCTTAAAATGTTGAACAACAAGACGAAAAACCAAATATAAACCCACAGTTTCAATATGTCTAACATTGTTAGTAGCTACAAACTGACATGCTAAATCATAAACAACAACCTCTTCTTCACTACACACCGAAATAAGGAACACAACTTCATCCATATTACATGTGAAGGCTTTAGACCAAGACACGCTACAACCCCAATGTAAGTACTCACTATACCTCCCAATCGCTTTTGAGTCATGGCAAATATCTAAAGTTTTAATGAGAAAAAAAAGAAGAGGAGGAAACCTCAGACTTTACGTCACAGCCCGTGACTTTAGATTTTGACTCAGCTAAAGTAAAACAGATCTAGTTTTTGTGTTTCACGGTAGCATAGCATTAGTAGCAGAGAGATGAGAAGATAAAGACTACACACAGTCACACAGTGTTCACACTACACTCCACACTTTCCCACCCCTCTCTCTCTCTCTCTCTCTCTCTTGTTTGTTCCTTCTTTCTTCTCCCACTGGTCCTTTTCTCTTTCTCATCCTTAAAACAAATCTCTCTGCAATAGCAAGCATCACCCCCTTTCTTTTGTCCAGAAATGCACACAGTCACACACTATTCACACTACACTCCACAACCCCACTAGACTCCCCATATTTCTTGTTTCTTCCTTCTTCCTCCTCACTATATGTCCTTTTTCTTAATTTCATCCATTTAACAAATCTCCTCTGCAAATATGGATCTCAAGAAATACACACAATCACACAGTCCATCACAAACCTGTGCAAATATGTATCTTTGATACTCACCCCTTTCTTCCTCAAGAGATGCACACAGTCACACAGTACACTCCAGACTCCACACTCCGACCAGTTGCCATTCTTGTTTCTTCCTTTTTATTTTTTCATTCATAAATCTCTCTGCAAATATGCATCTTTAACTCTATCAACATCACGACAGTCACAAAATAGTGTTTGATTATTCCTTCTTCTTCCACATTAGTCCATTTCTTTAATCAATAAACAAATCTGTCTGCAAATTTGTATCTCTAAACTCTTCCAAGTCACCCCTTTCTTCTTCAAGAGATACACACAGTCACTATTCTTGTTTGTTCCTTTTTCTTCCACAGGTCCATTCGTTTCACCCCAATAACAAATCTCTCTGCAAATATGCACGTCTAGCTTTTCAAAGATCACACCTTTACTCAAGAAATGCCTCCAGAAAACCCATTTCCGCCTCCTCTAACCACCCTACCTGTCTTCCCCACCACCTACCTACCTCCCCCGCCACCCCCACCACCCTCGTACCATCACCATTCTCACTCCCCTCTCATCCCACCCTTTATAGCTGCTGCTTTTGCCTTGACATTCTTCATTGTTGCTGCCATCATTTACCGCAAAGTGTCACGCAATAGGACTGTTCCTACAGATCTGAAGTCACCTCCACCACCCCACAAGTTCTCCTACTCTGTCCTCCGTCGCGCTACTGGCTCATTCTCAGCTGCTAATCGTCTTGGCCAAGGTGGATTTGGTTCTGTTTACAAAGGCGTCCTTCCCTCTGGACAGGAGGTAGCCGTGAAGCTCATGGATGCTTCTGGCTCCCTCCAAGGCGAGAGGGAGTTCCACAATGAACTCTCTCTCGCCTCGAGGATAGACACTACGTTTTGCCATCACGTAGTGCCTATCCTCGGCTTCTCCTCCGACGAGCATAGTTATAAGCACCACTGCTCTAGTCGGAGGAGGAGAAGATTAGTTCTTGTTTATGAGTATATGCATAATGGTAGCCTCCAAGATGCCTTGTTAGATCGAAAATGCCCTGAGTTAATGCAATGGAGAAAGAGATTTGATATTATAAGTTCCCTTGCAAAGGGTGTTGAGTATCTCCATTATTCGTGTGATCCTCCTATAGTACATGGAGATATAAAGCCGTCTAATATATTGTTGGATTACAATTTTGATGCAAAAATAGCTGACTTTGGTCTAGCACAGTCTTTGACTAAAGATGATCAAGTTGTTGAGTGTTTCATTGAAGATGAGGAGAGAGTTGAGAAGGGGGCAAAAGGAGAAGTACTTGAGAATGTGGATGAAAATGGGTCGATTCTTGAAGGAAATGAGAGTGTGGTGACAGAGGAGGTTGTGATAAATGTGGATCAGTTGCCGGAGAGTTGTTGTGTGAGGGTGTTGGATGGGGAAGCGGGAGGGGTGTCGCCTGAGGTGGGAGTGCCATCAGAGGGTATGGAAAAGACTAGTGTTTCTGAGGTTTTTTTTGATGGGATTAGTGTGGATAGTGGAATTTCGAGAGGGATTGGGAGAGGAATTAGTCAATCAGGTAGAGATTGGTGGTGGAAACAGGAGAATGTGAATGGTGGATCAGATTCGGGGAGGATTAAGGACTATGTGATGGAATGGATTGGTAGTGAGATTAAAAAAGAAAGGCCTAAGAAGGACTGGATCGCGACCACAAGTGCAGAAGAAGATGTTGCGAAAGGGGGGCAACAGAAGCAAAGAAAGAAGCTTGAATGGTGGGGATCTTTGGATGAGGAGAAACTTCGGAAAGAAAAGAAGAATAGGAAGCCAAGAGAATGGTGGAAAGAAGAGTTTTGTGAGGAGTTAGCCAAGAAAAAGAAGAAAAGGGATCTCAAAGGGGGAGAAATGTGGTGGCAAAGGGATGAAGAACTAGTGCCAGAAAGAAAGAGGAGAAAAAGTAAGGGAAGTAGAAGCAGCATTGATTGGTGGCTTGATAGTTTCAGTGGGGAGTTTCGAATTGGAAGAAGAAGTAGTCAAGATTTTGCCAGTGGAGATATTCCCAAGAGTGGAGGTGTGAGTAGTACCCCTAGTATGAGAGGAACCGTTTGTTATATTGCTCCAGAGTATGGTGGCGGAGGGCAGCTCTCAGAGAAGTGTGATGTGTATAGTTTTGGTGTTCTGTTGTTGGTTTTGGTATCAGGGAGAAGGCCACTCCAAGTTACAGCTTCTCCTATGTCAGAATTTGAGAGGGCTAATCTGGTTTCATGGGCAAGGCAGCTTGCTCATTCGGGCAAGCTTTTGGATCTTGTTGATCCCAATATTCAGTTACTGGATAGAGAGCAAGCATTGCTTTGCATCACAATAGCACTACTCTGTTTACAAAGATCACCTAACAAGCGCCCGACAATGAAAGAGATTGTTGGAATGCTTTGTGGTGAATCTGAGCCACCCCACTTGCCATTTGAGTTTTCCCCTTCACCACCATCCAATTTTCCTTTCAAGTCCCGGAAAAAGGCCCGGTGAGTTCACTGAGTGTTCTTTTACTGTTTGATTAACGGTAACTTCGCGCTGTTCAATGTAATCTTCATGTATGATTGTGTAAAAAAATGTTAGAAGATTAGCAAAAACCAAAAGGAAGAAAAATGTTATAATCTTTTTATCAGTTCCTTCTTCTTTTTTTTTTGTGCATAAATCTTCTCTATATTTCCTGAACCTCTCAATTCTACTGTGTTATGATGATAAGCAGACTAGTGGCTGAATTCAAGGAATCCTAGGCTTAAAAGTATCTGATATGACTCTACTTCCACTTTCTAAAAGTTGAGTGCACCAGTAATTACAAAATTCAGTGCCCTTGAACAATAACGAGCTTGCTTTTTACTTATTGCTTTCAGCACTTACTTTATTCGAGTCCCAGAAGATATTTAACGGTTTGTTGTCTGTTGCTTTTTAAAAGTAGGATGTAATTTGTTTTATAGTTACACTCGTTTCATTGCAGATTTAACCCCTCTTATCCCAATTCCCAACTGTCCAAGGGGTGATTACAAAGGAAAACATGGAAGTGCATTTTTTATTTGTCCACACTAATACTGTATAATCTAAGTAGTTCCTGTGACCTTATACAATGTAGTATAAATATGTATTGTAATTGTTCATATTGCATAAATAGATGATATGCTTAGGGAAAGACATCAGAGAGAAAAGCAACAAGGACGAGCGGTTAACTGACTGCTGTTCTATAATTAGATTATGTGTCTACAGCTGATTGTTCAAAGGATCTAAAAGAATATGAATACCCATTTAATATGCTGTTTGGCAAATAGGTCATCCATGTTTGAGAAACAAAAGTGATACGACCGTTTCACATTCATATGGGACTAACAGCAGTTGTCACTACTGGAAATATTTAGTGAAAGTTAAACAGTAAACCAATGTTGCCAAAATTGAGGGGAAGCTGAGTAATATTCAGTACTCCGGTATTTGGTTATTCTGCGAACCTAAATTGTCATATTTATGTCTCTTGATATGTTTAATGAAGTACATAAGCATCTCAAATGTGGATATGAGTTAGTTCCTTTAAATGGTGGAGATCATTTATGTTGGATACCTCATCTAACTGTAATAGCCCGCGTTTCATCATGCATATAATATCTCGGGTACCTATATCACCTTGTGCAGATAATTCTCCATTCAATTGTCTGGGTGAATGTGGCAGAATTCTTTTGTGAACACTTAAATCTTTCTTGCTTATCATGTAATTTTGGTTTGATTCAGATTGAAATAGCTTTTCATAGCTCTTTAAGTTGATATATGATAAGCATTGTAGAATTCGTGATGTTATAGTTGTGAAGTTAAGATTTTGATTTGTTTGTCTATAAGTTACATAAGATTGAAAACTTTTAAGTAGTAGAATTAGCCCCTTTTACATATACAAGGTACTGGAAGTTTTAACATTTCTCTGCTCAGAGTTTGCAAATAGAGCTCTGATATTTTATAGTATAATATTTGACTACAATGAGCTTAAATAGAGCGACATGGACATGAGTGAGGATTCATATAGCAGATAGCAGAAGGCATAAATGTTTGTAGTCGTGAGAGTTTGAAAATCCTGGATGAGATTTCTTTATTGTTTTAGTTTCATCAGAATATGTTTGTCTGCTGATCAACTAAAGGACAAAGATGGATAGGATATTTGTGTTACTGTCGTTTTAGAGGTCACTGAAGTTGTCTTGTTGTTAAGAGTGTAGTTCTAACAGGAAGCGCACTTGTCCACTGGCACTAAAGTTCCTTCTTTTGCTCACATAATGTCCCTCAAAAACCTTTGACCCACAATGCTTTATGCTAAACCTGTGTAGACACGTTGGTTGTCTTAGCAATCATGTTTTTCCTTCTCTTCTGCAGGGTATCCCACGTCTAGGGATGTACGTGAGGTGGTTTGGTTTGATTTTTTATTAAATCAAAACCAAACCAACTATGTCGGTTTACTAAATTTATAATCAAATCAAGCCAACATAAACTCGGTTTTTTCGGTTTTGATTTTTGTCGGTTTTTTCGGTTTCCTCGGTTTTTCGGTTTATTTTCGGTTTTCCTTTTTAGTTATATTATGCTTGAAAAAAAGATCAAATAATCACCAATTGTCCGCATGATTACTATTTATTAAAATAATATATGAGGAATAGCAATTGTTCGTATGAATCATAATTCCAAGACCTTTCATAATAGAAAATGACAACAAACATGAGATAAACCAAAAGTTACAACCCAACTTGTAGTTCTACAAAAAATATTAAGTTAATTAAAGTTGGCCAAGACAAAAGTTAGAAATAAGTAGTAAGCAGCCAAGCATCATGAATAGGTTGACACTATTTTGTTTAACTGAAGTTCTAAACTAATCAATACTCAAATGGTCACCAGACATTCAGGAAAAAAAAACAGTTACATGTTAAACAATATAAAGATAGAATTGAATTCATTACGAATTAAATATATAAAATTACCTTCTTCAACTTGCTCAATTTTCTTAATTTCTTCTAGATAGTCTTGAAGCTTGCATTCCTTCTTAGAGAACCTTTAACATTAAGCAGTGATTTCATCACAAATATAAGTGCAATATTGGATTGAAAGAACACAACTCGTAACATCAAATTTCAGGACCAACAATCTAAGATAACAATTATACCCAAATTTAAAGGGACAAAATAACATAATTGGTTTAATCAAATACTTTAGCTTACCAAATTGTGTTGGAGCAGTAAGACTAATATGTAATTACAAACTTGGACAGTGGTTTGGAATTGCAAAGAAGGAAGCTCGTCGTGAATTGGATGGAAGGATTTTCACTATTTGGGGTTTTTTGACTTTGGAGTTGGAAGATAGGAAAGATAGAAGAATGAAGACAAATAAATAATATCTCAAGACATTGAAAACTATAAAATAATTTAGAAAATACTTACAAATTAGATTTTAATGATTATTTTTTATGTATAAATTTATATATATTATGTCGGTTTGATTTAGATTCGGTTTGACTTTTTTTTTTTGTTAATACCAAACCAAACCAAGAGTGATCGATTTTTTATTTTCCAACACCAAACCAACCAAACCAAATCACAAGTCAGTTTTTTTCTTCTGTTTGACTTGGTTCGTCGGTTCGGTTTGACTTGTACACCCCTACCCACATCATAGCCCTATGGATTTATATATATGAACTGTTGCCTTTCATCTCGATATTTATGCATATTGGAATTTTCTCTTATATATATAGCTGCCTATCATGAGTCAGCTTTAAACCTTTTTTTAGCTTTTTTTCTATGTTTGGCAAAAGTTAAAAAGTACTTGAAATAAGGTAAAAATTTAATAAGTTAGGCAACCTCAACTTATTATTTTTTGACTTAAAAGGTATTTCTACTGAAATGTTACTTTTGTTAAGCCAATCCAAACGGGTTCTATAGCTCAGACATCACTTCTACTTGTACTTAAATTTTTAAACTAGATTTTTTCTTAATAACAGTGGTGTTTAGACTTCAGACCACCTTGAACTCATCTATCTGCTAATATATGTATCGGATAACTCTGTCCATCATATTCTATATTTTTACGGTCCGAACTCTCGTCTCGCGAGATTCTTTCTGCTTCATTGATTGTTAGACCTACTCATGGGTGCATAAATAACTAGTAATTGGCACAAAGTTTATGAAAAAAGAGAAGTCTTTTGAAATATGTGGTCTTAAAAATTTAGGGGAAAAACTTTATGGGGCTATAATATTTGTATGGCTATAAAAATTTTTCATTAAGGGTAAAGTGAGTAAAATAAAAAATTTAAAGTTAAGTTATTTTCAAATATAAAAATGTATCATTCTTTTTTGAACGGACTAATAAGAAAATTGTATCATTCAAATTGAAATGGAAGGAGTAATATTTTCCTTGTGTCACGTCAATTCTCACAAGAAAAAGACTAGAAAGATAAAAATGGAAAGAGGTATTTTAAAATTTAATGTTCAAAGATTTTACCATTAAAAACAGGTCAGGCCTAGTCCCTTTGGGGACGTTCAATTAAAGAGAACAAGTTAGGGGCCCGGAATTAAAATATGATTTTTTTGGACTCAAAGAACCAAAATGCGCGAAAAAAAAAATTAGGAACCAAAATATATATAACGCCCAAGCTTAAGGCGCTATACCTTAACGACTTTTACCCAGTTAAATATAGCACCCTAATATAAGGCGCTATATATATAAAGCCCTAACGTACCACGCTATATATATAAAGCCCTAACGTACCACACTATATATATAAAGCCCTAACGTATCGCACTATATATATATTATGTGGGCCCACCAATAATTCTTCTGGGCTTAACTAACATACCAATGGGCGCTATACCTCAAATAATTGTACCCCCAGACTGGTTTTTGCCTTATTTAAAGATGTTAAGGATTTTGTAAAAATCCATTCATAAATATTTTCAAGTCTCCTGAAATATTTATTCGTTAAGTTATTTTGCATTTTGTCATAATGTCTGAAGAGCGAAGAATTAGGGTTTCATTATATTTTTTTTGGGGGGGAGGGGGGAGGGGTTGTGGTGACGAATCACTCACTAAGTTATAGTTTATCTCCACAGTGTCATGTTAAGTTGCCACATACAATGGAGTACGATACATCGGTATCGTTGTTATGTAAAAAAATGAGTGTGAGCAAACGTTCAGTGAATATTAAAGTAACCGAAAGATATTTGTATTCTGTGACTCCGCAAGGGGTTGCTTGTTATGCTGAGTTTAACATCGAAGACGATGAAACTCTGAGAGATTTTTTAAGGACTCCGCATGAATACCATGAATTTCTTGTGATAAACCTGTTGGAAGTGTACGTCAAGGCTGAAGACGTTCACAATAATGAGGTTGCGCAAAGTAGAGATATCCCTCAATCATCGGGTGGTTATTTTGGAGCATTTTTAGCCGAACAGGTTCCGGATAAAAGAGTTTGGCCTGATCTAAACTTATCTCTACGGGCAAATGTGGAGCGATGAAATAATTTCTCACCTAGTTTACATAATCCACAAGCCGAGTGATAAACTTCAATTTTCCTTTGTGTTACGATATTTATTTTTATGTATTGAATTTGTAGTAACACTCATTTATTCCACAGAGGGTACCGACCAGATATGAATTTTACAAGTTATGAACCAATGCCCAGTTCGAATATGACTAGTTTTGGTGTGTTGGATCATGGTGGTTCATCCGGGAGTGATCATCAACAGGATATTGTCCATCATGGGATATCAACACATTATGATTTGTAAGTGAAGTGATAAAGATATATGCAAAGTTTGGATCAATTTGAGTAACTCATGTGTATTGTATTGTCGAGCTAAAAAAGCTGCCATTCTAGAAAAGCTGTCTTGTACCCTAAAGAATCATTATCATGCGCAGCATAACGCGACACCAATATGAGTTATGTGTATTGTCTTGTCGACCTGAAAAAGCTACATTTCTGAAAAATCTGTCTTGTACCCTAAAGGATCATTATCACGCGCACCATAGCGCGGTACCAATATGCATAATGTGTATTGTCTTGTCGAGCTGAAAAAGCTACCGTTCTGGAAAAGCTGTCTTGTACCCTAAAGAATCATTATCACGCGAAGCATAGCGCGACGCCATTATGCATTATGTGTTTTATCTTGCCTATAAAAGCCTAGCGCATTTTAGTTATTATTTGCGCTTAACCAAAACAAATAGAAAAACTTTCCATAAATTTTTTATTTTTCTTGCATTAAGAAATGTCTGGACGCAATGATGTACCAAGGTGTTATTGTGGCAAACATGCGATTTTGAAGCCATGTTGGTCAAATAGTAATATGGGGAGCAGACGCTGGATATGTCAACAACTTGTAAGTTATTGTTTTGGAAAAAATATTTGTTAATATTCTTTATATAAAATGTTAACTAATAGTGTTGTGTTATAATCCCCATTGGTAGGACGAAAATTAATGTAGATTTGAAGAATGGTATGATGATCCCATTAATCAGGAATACTACAAATCATGTTTGCAGTATGTTTGGAATATGACCGGTGAATACGAACTCCAGATCTTTAAACTACAACGACAACTTGCGGCAGTGCAGGAGAAACTAAAAGAGACTGAAGAAGGAAAAAATAGGTTTGAAGAGAAATTTAAGTGGTTGAAGTAGAGAATAATGGGCGATAGTGACTAAACAAATACATAAATGTGTTGAGTGTAGTATTTTATTTTTATATTTTTCGTGTCATGTATTTTCATTAGTTGTACCAAATTTAAATTATGTTAAGTTGCTATGCTTGTTTTGGTTGTAGTATTAAACTAATAAATAGCCCGTGAAATAAAAACACATGCGCATATAATATAAATCATAAATAATGTTGCTATTACATACTGAATGTCATATGTATAGATAATAAAAAATTTCAATGTGTCCCACAACCCGTATGCTTTAAAGCATTGATTGGCCTGAGGTGCATCCCATCCTGCCAGGCTATACTATCAGGATCATCCTCATCACGTCGCCTCTTTATTGGAGGATGCGCTGCAGTATGATCGTCAGTAAGGTTGGCAGGCTTGGTAGAAAGGGTCGTCGGTCCAGCAGTAACCTACCGAATAATAAGATATTTTAGTATATGAAATATATATTAGTAATGTACGTGTTAGCTAAAAAAATTTAAATTATCTTACCATGGTCTCGGCAGGCTCCTGAATACAACCATCCGTCTCAGGCATGTTAGTATCGCACAAAGTGGCCTCAGTGACGGGCAAGGATGATGCCTTAAAAAAAACGCTTTAGATATTTATGACTAATCAATGAGATAAAAACAAATATAAATAATAGTAATACAAACTAACCATATCCTGTGAAAGATCCTCAGCATCCCTCGATGATGAGCCATAACTTAGTCGGCGCCACTATCTGCATCTCGTGTCGGACGATCATCAGCAACCGTCGATGGCTCTGGAGGACCAGGAAAATACTGATCCCACTCCTGTCGCGTAATGGCCGTGCCTGCGATCAACAATGGAGCTGACGGGGTCACTTGCGAAGTCCCTGGAGTAAGCTGAAGGCTGAATGGCGGTATATCTCTAGGAGCATGGTCTGGCTCATGGTGGTCACCCGACTGATCAACTCCAATATCCTCAGCAGGTGCCTCAACGCCCCCTTGCTGGGGACTATGTCCTCGCCGACCCCCACGACCTCATGGGACACCCCTACCTCTCTGGGCACATCTGCCATGTCTGTCACGCCCTAAAACTGAGGAGCGTGACCGGCGCTCAACCGAGTGAACCCGACCGAGCAAGCCTGTTAGATTCCTTCTACCCAAACTCATTCATGAATAAAGAGAATATATGTTTTCCTTAATTAAACAATAAAGTGGTCATGTCTGCAATTACCAATTTCTTACCATAAGTTTCACCATTTTTAAAGTCTCAAATGGACAAGTAATACAACTACAACATAGCATAGTTTGTCTTTCCCAGCACCAATACACAACCCACACTATGTCTACGGAGCCTATATAGATAAAGAAGAGTACAATGATAATGCTGGCAACACTAGTATGTATTGAAAGATACATACTAGTGTTGGGAAGAAGGTGCACTGTTATCACTGACCAATATCTCCTGCTGTGGAACCACCTGCATCCATTGAAAGATGCAGCTCCCCCGGCAAAAGGGACGTTAGTACTGTCGAATAACACTAGTATGTATAACTAAACACCCTCTCAAGAGAATGATAAATAATACAAATAAGATTATCATAATATCAATGAAAGCCTTAATTAACATCAAACCTCAATTTAGGATCAAGACAATGTTCAAATTAATT